TATATATATATATATAGATGCTACTGTGAATGTAATTGAAGAAGAAATTAGAAAAACAAATATATTCTCTAAACTCTCTCTAAACTCTACTTACTATCTCTCTCTTAATTTCCAAAATCATATAACATTTATATACATATTTATCTCCATAATATTTAGTTATTTAACATAAACCATGTATTTATCCTAAAATAATAAGATGTTACTTACCGGTATTGATACACATTATGTTATTATCCATGTGATTACGAATCATTAGAAAGAAGTTTCATCTTGATACACATTTGTTTTTTTTTTTTTGTTTTAATAAGTTAACCAAGTTACCTAAAACACCCCCAATCCAAACATTTCAAAATAATAATAATATCTCGAACTGAAAAATAATATCTAAATCATTAGTGCCATTTTATATAATTTTTCACATTAAAATACAATTACTAATCTTTTTTTATAATAATAAATTAATAACAAATTTTCCGAAACAGACTGGAAACAGATAGTCGAAAATTAGAGTCAGCTTTGTGATTTTTCTTTCGTCGTTGAATCTTTTGACCTTTCTTCCATTGTTGATCTCCTTCCTTCCTTGTCCATCTTTCTGGGTTTATCAATTCGTTTTCTTCTGTTTATGGGCGACACGAAACCTGGGATCGTCATGGCTAATAGAGATCGTGAGCTTCTGATTCCAGTTGCTCATTCCGGCGAAGATGATCACGATTCTACACCCAAACCTTCTTCCTCTTCTTCATCTTCTTCTCATCATTCTGGTCAAGAGGTTATCATCACCTTCTTACCCTCTATTCAAAATTACGTCTTTAGGGTTTTATAGGTTGTTGTGATGTTCGTCTTCTGCGATTTAGGGTTTTCGATTGGCGAAATTTTAAGAATTGCAATTGGGTTTTTGTTGGGTTAGTGTTGAATTTCGATCGTGATTGGTAAATTGCGAATCTTGATTTCGAGAATTTGAAAAAGTTAGCTGCTTGATCTGTTTTCGTTTGCTCATAGATGTGTGAAGTTATTTAGTTTCTTTAAACTTATAGTTTGTTCCCTAAAAAGTGACTCTTTTGTTTATGTGCAATTTTCAATTTTGATGTGTTTACTGACTGGGGAATTTTTTGATCTTTAGACCTTTTACAAGTTGATCAGAAGCTGGGCATCAAAGAAGTTCATGACTGGATGGTAGGGACATGTTTCTTGCTTATTTCAATGGAGGATTGAGTTCCCTAAGCAAGTGTCTTGATTGCTTTGTTCTTGTTCACAAGTTCTGCCAATACATTCTGACTTGTATATATTCACCCTGCAGTGTTATCTTGCTTCCAATGGCGATCACTTTCTATGTGACTTGGTGGTTTATTCATTTTGTGGATGGATTTTTCTCCCCGATATATACTCATCTCGGAATTGATATATTTGGTAAGCTTCTTCTAGTCCTTCCTCTATATCTCTGTCTAGTAACAATGTTCGTTGGCGATCATGAAGTAACTCTTATGTTATCTAGAAGAACTTCTTTGGGGGAATATATATGAATATCAAAAAGAATGTAATAGACAGTATTTGATGTCATTTCTTTTGTAAATTTGCTTTTCAGGACTTGGTTTTATCACCTCCATTACATTTATCTTCATGGTTGGGGTGTTCATGTCTTCATGGTTGGGTACATCGGTTCTAAATTTGGGAGAGTGGTTTATCAAGCGAATGCCATTTGTTCGTCACATCTACAATGCCTCCAAGCAAATCAGCACTGCTATATCACCTGGTATCGTTGTTGTTCTTCTCTTTCTTATAATATCTTGTTTCGTTGAGTCTTGATTATATGATTTCTCGCCGATATATTGCAGATCAAAACACCCAGGCTTTCAAGGAAGTCGCCATTATAAGACATCCGCGTATTGGTGAATACGCAATTGGGTTCATCACATCGACCGTTGTTCTCCAGGTCTGTCACAAGAAACCGTAACCTTCTTTCTGGGAATGAAGGTTTTACCAAAACTTAAACGTCTTAAAATCATTGCAGACTTACGCAGATGAAGAGGAACTTTGCTGTGTATATGTGCCGACAAATCACCTTTACATTGGGGATGTATTCCTTGTTAGTACAAAAGATGTGATCAGACCAAATCTTTCAGTAAGAGAAGGCATAGGTGAGAGGAAGAAGATCCACCGATTTCATTTTGAAAATGTTTGAGACTCGATCTTCTGATAACTTTGGGTTGGGTTTTTATTTATCTGCAGAGATCGTTGTGTCAGGAGGAATGTCGATGCCACAAGTTCTATCAACGCTTGATATGAGAACGGCTCCAGAGAGAAGTAGAAGTAGAAACTAAAAGATTAGTCTTGCAGAAACAAATGGTTCTCAAATCTTTCCTTTTACATGTCTTCTTCCTTTAAATTCTGATTCAGTTAATTTCAGATTTGATGTTGAATCATTAGACAACAATGGTGTTTTAGAAATGCGTTCCATTTGTGTTAACTCTGTCATTATCTGTCTATATCCTAGACTCTCCTATTACATAGTAAGCTGTATAATACATATTGATTTAGCCAATCCATTTTAATTTTCCTTGAAAAGCATCTCTTGGAGGTCACATATATACACTCTAAGTCAATTAATAGACATTTAAAATTCATTATCTCTTCCTTTAATCAGGAGTTTATTTATTGATTTTACACTAAGTTTGGAGTTTTATTTCAAAGAATGCAGCATAACAGAGACAATTTTTATGAAAATCTTCAATCTGATGCATGTAGTATGATAATAAAATTAAAATTATGCTTCAAATGAGAGTGTAAGAGAGGGAAAAAAAATTGCGTGTTAGTGAGTAATGGACCCATGACAGGCCAATAATGGGCCAGGAAAAAAAAAGGTCGGTTTCCTTCAAGAAACAGTGTGTAGTTTAGAAGTATCTATATGAAACTACACGTCGTTTTTCCACAGAAAAAAAAAAACCCGGAGATTAACATATCGCAACCGTCAGATATACCACGTGTCCAAATCCAGCTGAGCTTGTGAAAGAAACCCTAGCTCTCTCAAGTTTGTTTTTTCCGTATAAAAGGCATGAGAAACTAAACTCAATACAATAACAACTTCTTTAGGGTTTTAGATCTCCGCCGATTAGCTTCTCTCTGTTTTTTTTCACTTTTTCTTCTTCTTCTTCTTCTTCGTCTTGTTTTTTGATTTTTTGTGTAGATTAATGGACAGTGACGATTGATATTAAAGGTCTCGTTCGTCGTAAAAACGGCCGTAAAAAGCCTATTTGCCGACCACTCTGTTATATCACCACCCATATTCTGAGTCCATTCATTGTTTTTTTTTTTCCCAATCGTTTTTTTGGCCAATGATTTAATCAAAAATTGACAAGCATATGTCTGAATTAATCCTTGTTGATAAACTCTAATCTTCTCTATGAGGCCATCAAAACCCAAATCCGATTTCGTTTTTTTTCTTTGCTTTATAATAATTTGATTCTGTTTTTGCTTGATTATTGTTTAGTGGCCTATGATTTAAATGATTATAGACAAGCATATGTCTGAATTAATCCCTGTTGATAAATCTAATCTTCTCTATGAGGCCTTTAGTCTAAAATCAGATAAAGGTTATAGTTTTTGGTTTGGTTGATGAGAATAGAGGAAATTGAAAGGGGTCAAGTGATGATTGATAACGCATAGTTCAGATGATAAATTCTATTATGATTAATATCTTCAGCATAGTCTTTCGCTCCTATCTGATGACCCCTTCCTCTATATTTTTATTATCTATTATTCGATTTTTCAATGTTTGGAAGATTGTTTTCCCAAGTTTTTATTTTTCCTGAAATTTGTGTAATTGAATATCTCTGGCCAAATCATAATATAATGAAGACTTGATTCAATTTATAAACATATTGGTGAAATACTTTGATGTTATCTAGATCAACCGAGTATAGCAATCTGAATATCATTGATTAGAATTTAATTTAGTTTGACCCTTAAGCAACATATTAGACGACTTAATTACATTAGTTGTCTCAAAAACTTGTTACTTACAATGGTGAAAACTAATTTAAAACACCGAAATTTTTTTAGGCAATTGGGTTTGTTGCTGCCGAATTAAAGCAATCGCAAGAGGGAAAAAAATTGGTTTCTATAGATAAAGCGTTGCACAGACGAGGTGGTGAAAGTTTAAGTCACTTAACCAAACGTTTAGGCTTCATGGGCCTAATGACGAAAATAAAAATGCTTTATGGGCTTATTGTCGTTTTCAAAGCCAAACGGGCCAACGAAAATCGAAAAAGGGACAATTGAATTGTTAGATAAAATATGGAAAGTTTTGTCCACCAAAGATATAATAAACAGTTTAAATATGGAAAGTTCGTTATAATAGGGATAATAAAGAAGAGAAAATTAGATTGAGTACTACATTTGGCCCAAAATTTAGGTCCAGTACCACTTTCAAAACCCAGTTAGCATCCATACCACAATTGAGATGTGTAATGACCATTTTGCCCTTCTTTTTGTTTGCTCAAATTTCGGGGACAAAATTCATAGATTGGGGACACAAAAAGAAGTTTACATACCGTTGTCCCCGAAGTTTGAATTTTTCCACAATTTCATCTTATTTTTGCATGTTTGCTGGTTTTTGTCCCTCAATTTTAATTCATTATTCTTGGATTTTAGTATGTAAACTCTAATTGCGGTCTTTTCATTTTGTTTGATGTTTATATTTCGTTTGATTATTATCCCCGAATAGGTTTTTGTCCTCCGTATACTTGTCCCTAAATGTTACACTTTATCTGCCACATCAGCCAAGGGCAAAACTGTCTTTTTCATACCACAATACCACATGAATGTGGTACAAGTGCTAAACCATTCTCAATTGTGGTAGAGATGCTAAGAAATTTAAAAAATGTGGTACATTTGGCAAAAATCCCAATAAAGAATTCTCTCAAAAGTAAAATAAAATAGATGTAAAAAACAAAGGAAATTAGAAAATCAATATTACAAAAATAAAACAAAAAAAATCAATAAGAACAATCGAAAAACAAAAAAAATCAATAAGAACAATCGAAATAAATCTTATAAGATAGTTTCTCTTTGAATCCTTCTCAATCCTCACAAAACTTAAACCTAAACCTAATCCAAAAAAGAGAGAACTCACTCTCGTGAAATATTCTGATCTATACTAAATTATATAATTCAGTCATCAATCGAGCAAAGTCAGAAGTGTGATGATGTCCAAAGACGCTCCCGAAGTGGCAACACATAGTAAGAGGAGGAAGAAAGAGGACGGCGAAAGTCAGAAGTGTGATGATGTCCAAAGACGCTCCCGAAGTGGCAACACATAATAAGAGGAGGAAGAAAGAGGCATCTTCGTCGTCATCGTCAAGGTTTCTACATTCTTTGCCAGAAGCGGTGGCTATAAGTTGCTTAGCCTGCGTATCAAGATTGGACCATGCAGCCTTATCTCTCGTCTCCAAGACCTGCCGGTCAATGGTTCTTTCGTCCGAGCTCTACCAGACACGATCGTTGACGGGTTACGCTGAGAAATTCCTCTATGTATGCTTCTGCATGCCTACTGACGAAACTCCTCGTTTGTTCATCTTCCGCCCAACTAAAGATGCTGCCATCAGGAACAATGTGAATCTAGCTCACGGTGCTCACCCGATCCCCTCGTTCCCCAGTCAACAACGGAAAGGATCTTCCGTGGTGGCGTTGGATAGGGGGATCTATGTCATCGTTGGATGGGTTAATGGCAATCGCTTGTCCCGTGTCTTGCTGTTCGTTTGTCGGTTTCACAAGTGGCACCACGTGACTTCCATGAGAGTGCCTCGTGTTTCCCCCGAGGTCCGCGTGGTGGATGGAAAGATATACGTGTGGGGAAGCTGCATGTACAAACATTACTCCAACTGGGGAGAAGTATTCGATGATAAGCTTTGAAGCTTACCTTAAATGGAAAATAAGAATAGAAATGGAGAAAGGAGGGAAATGCGCCGCAAGCGACGGAGAAGAGAGAGATAGGAGAAATAGAAATGATTAATGTTTTGATGTTATATGATATGGAAGCCTTAATGGGATTCTTCCATCTTAAATACAACTCATAATTCTTAAAACGACATCACTTAATTTAAAGACATTATTAGAGGAAAGGTGAAACCCTCTCCTTTTACCAGAGTCTTCTCGTGTCCCTTAGCCACTTTTCTTGAGGAGCTTTCTCAGGAACTTCTCCATTGCCTTAGCCTTTCTACCTCCAGACCTCATCTTCCTTTGCATACAAGCTAGAGGTACCCTGAGTCTATCATTCGACCCAAATACACAAACTTGGGCTGATATGCCAATTTCAAAGCCAGTGGTGGAGGAGAAGATTTACGTGGTGAATTCATGGGATGATGGAAGCTTTTACTACTTGCCGAGCCAGAGTAAATGGGAAACAGGGAATCAAGATTCAAAGCGTAGCAAGGATTGGTGTCTAATAGATAAGTTGATATACAGTTATGGTAACGACGGGGGTATATATTGGTGTGAGGCAGGGGAGTTAGATTGGTGTGATGCAGTGAAGATTGATTGGAGGGAGGTGTTGGGTTTGGAGTTTTTGTCAATGGCGCTCCGTGAATCGAGAGTGGTACACTTTGGTGGGAAAATGGTAAAAGTGTGGGAGTCCTATAAGATCATGTACAATATCAGCAAAAACCTTGAAGAATTACTTCCCGAGACCATATTGACCAACTTGATCAACCTTGGTAAGAATGTTTTGGTCTTTTGGGAAAAGCTCGAACGTGGTGGTGATTACATGAGCATGGAGATTTGGTGTGTGCGGAGATTTCGTTGGAAAAGTGGGAAGGAGGCCAGATTTGGGGCAGGTGTGATTGGTGCCATCCTATCCTCGCAATCGATCTTCTCACGGTTGATCCTCTCTTCTGCCACTTTAAGGTCTTGTATTCTATCCCTGTTGACGTTTGAAAACTTGGATTTTCTTGTACTTTAAGAATTATTTTTATATATGATTCATAAAATCACACTTCTAACAAGAAGTTGTTCAGGGCACTAGCTATGTTTCTATTTCTCAATATCAGTCACTTTTTTCTTGTTTACTCAATGTGAAAATATTTATATAATATAGATTCAAATAAAAATCTTTCGGGTAATATAGAGGGTGATTGGTTGGGTTGTACCTGTAAAGTTTTTGTTGCAGAATTTTTGCTGTAATTGTGTAGCTGTAACGTTTGTTGCTGTAAGTTTTTGGACGTAGGTATTTTAGAATAAAAATATAATATTTATAATAAAATTTTATTTTTACTTTTTAAAGTAAATAAAATTGTTTATATTATTTATTAAAATTAAAATACAAACAATAAATATTTTTTAAAAAATCCTAGTCAAAACACAAATGTCTACGTATTCTTTGATAATTTTATTTTTGGAACTTATCTTTGTTTTTTATTTTTAGAATTTTCGTTTATAATTTCTAATTTTCATATTTATCTAATATTAATGTGAGTTGAAACTCCTACAGCCAAGTAAATAGGGCTTTAGAAATTTACTCTGCTACAGCCTAAAGAAAAAAAAAAGACTGTAGCTTTTAAAAAATTACTACAACACGATTGGCATAAAATTTAAGCTTTAAGAAAAATTAAAACTGTAAGATGAACTTATAGACCAACCAATCAAGCTCATAGTCATGTATGATGTACTTATCATTTAACTGTGACATTCCAAAGAAAATTTAGAACAATAAATCAGAAGAATAACTGCTATAATGGTTTATTAAGAAAAATATGGTCACGCAGAAATTTCATGGTTAAGAACTAAGAAGCAAATGTCTTTTATTAATGAAAGGGAGGTAATATATTGTAACACCAAAAATATGTTATGCCACTGACTCTCCTTTTATTATCAAAAGTAAAAAAAACCTAAAGAAACCAATGAGTTCTATTGGTCACCAAATTGGTTTACGTAGTTAAGAAGAAGCACCAAAACTAGCTTGTATTTAAACTAATCTATCTTCTAACACTTTAACCAATTCAAATAGAGACTCAAATTTTTCGGTTACAAATGTCAAACTGGCAGAATTGAGAACGCACTACTATGTAACTGACACCCAAAACTAGTGACAAATGGTAACCTAACCTATGGGCCTTTGTCTTACCCAACCTAACGCTTGTAAATATTTCCCTATTTTGTACCCATGCACACACAAATACCAATATTTATGAGCACAAGAACAAACATTGATAAAGAAAGATTCACCAATAAAAAAAAACCAAAATGAAGATGTACCCAAAATCTGACTCAGACATCACAAGCCTCGACCTATCATCACCAAAACTTCCTACTTACTACGTTCAAAGCCCATCACGTGACTCCGACAAGTCTTCTTCGGTGGCACTGACGACTCATCAGACCACTCCCACCGAGTCGCCATCACACCCATCATTTGCTAGCCGCGTATCCAACAACGGTGGTGGAGGTTTCCGGTGGAAAGGACGGAGGAAATATCACGGTGGAAGATGGTGGCCGGCTGATAAGGAGGATGATGCTGATGATGGGCGGTACGAGGATCTTTATGAGGACAACAGAGGAGTCTCCATTGTTACTTGTAGACTTATTTTGGGAGTTGTTGCGACATTGAGTATCTTTTTTCTTCTATGTTCTGTTCTCTTTGGTGTTTCTCAATCTTTCCCTCCAATCGTCTACATCAAGGTAATTTTATTTTTACTTACATATAAAAAAAATTATTCGCAAAAACTCTTAAATTTTTAACTTTGATTAATGTACTCAAAAACTGTTAGACAAACGCAGCTTTTGCGTTTTCCACATTTTCAAAAGAAATAGATTTTGTTTTGTATTTTTTTCATAAAAGATTTTTGAATTTAGTGTTTTCACTTACAATTAATGAAAACACATCAATTGGTGTTTGAATGAATTAAACCTTGGTCTAGGGTAAAGTTCTACAAATGTTTGATTTTGTGTTGTATATGTTAGGGTGTGAATGTGCAAAGTTTTTACTACGGAGAAGGTTCAGATAGTACAGGAGTGCCAACAAAGATCATGAACTTTAAATGTTCAGTGGACATCACAACACACAATCCTTCTACATTATTCGGCATTCATGTCAGCTCCACTACCATCAACCTCGTCTACTCTCGTCAATTCACGCTTGCGATCGCGCAGCTGAAGAGTTATTATCAACCAAAACTAAGCAACCACACATCTAGGATCAACCTTGTTGGCTCCAAGGTTCCACTATATGGAGCAGGAGCCGAGTTAGTTGCTTCAGACCATATTGGTGGAGTTCCTGTGAAGTTAGAGTTCGATATCCAATTACGAGCCAATATTGTTGGAAACTTAGTCAAGTCTAGGCATAGGAAACACCTCTCTTGCTTCTTTTTTATCTCCTCTTACAACACCACATTTGTAAAATTTACCCATAAGTCTTGTAATTCATAGAAGCTTCTTCATTCTTTGTTTTAATATAAAACTCGATTTTTTTTTTTTTTTTTGACGGCAAACTCGATTTTTTTTATTCCTAGCTTTTGTAAAAATGAATATATTTTTTGAAGTATATAGCTAAAAAAATCAAGTCATACTTTTCCATTTTTCTTAGCAAAAAACAGAAAAAGTTACGTTCCATTTTATCTTATCGAAAAGAGAAGAATAAAATCCGTTAAAAACGGTTTGGTTTGGACCAAACCTTTTATAAATTAAAACAATTTAAAAAAAAAAAAATGAAAAAGAAAGCTTCAAAGGGTTTGTTCTATATCCACTCTCTACGCCGTGTTCTTCTTCTAAGACATATGTATCTTCCATTTTCAATGTTTACGTCGATCTCAAAACACAAACAAATTGATAAACCAAGTTGATAGAAAAGAAAGATGATGGATGCGACGTCAGAATCCGAAAGAACAAGCTTGGACCTATCGATTTCATCACCTAAACCTGCTTACTACGTAGAAAGCCCTTCAAGTGTGTCCCAATTAGACGATGGTGAGAAATCCTCATCCTCTACTTCGCTTATTCAGGTTCATACTCCAAACTACACCATTCTCAGTGAGTCACGTCTCTCCTCTTCGAGCCGTACCTCCAATGGAACAAGCGGTATGGGATTCCGATGGAAAGGAAGCTCCCGGAGAAGTAATATGTATTGGCCGGAGAAGCCTTACACGATTAATGAAGATGAAGTTTATGATGATAACAGAGGATTATCGGTGGGACAATGCAGAGCTGTTTTGGTAATATTAGGTACTGTGGTTGTGTTCTCTGTTTTCTGCTCTGTTTTGTGGGGAGCTTCTCATCCTTTCTCTCCTATTGTCTCTGTCAAGAGCTTTAACATCCATAGCTTTTATTACGGAGAAGGAATAGACAGAACAGGAGTTGCTACCAAGATTCTGAGCTTTAACAGCTCGGTGAAGGTGACAATAGATAGTCCTGCGCCTTACTTTGGCATCCATGTCTCTTCTTCTACCTTCAAACTCACCTTCTCTGCTCTCACACTCGCCACTGGTCAGGTACTCTCTGTTTTCAAATTTCACTCATTGCTCATATATCATCATCATCATCATAATCTGATTCACATTTTGGTTGTGAAGCTTAAGAGCTATTACCAGCCAAGAAAGAGCAAGCACATAGCCATTGTAAAGCTCACTGGCGCCGAAGTTCCTTTGTATGGAGCAGGACCACACTTAGCTGCCTCTGACAAGAAGGGAAAAGTTCCAGTGAAGTTGGAGTTTGAGATCCGATCGCGAGGTAATTTATTGGGGAAGCTGGTCAAGTCGAAGCACGTGAATCACGTATCATGCTCTTTCTTCATCTCCTCCTCCAAGACTTCCAAACCCATAGAATTCAGTCATAAGACCTGTAAACTTGTTACCAAGTAAACAATTTTTCACTACCTCTCCATTTTGCAAATAAGAATTTCTTGTTTTCTCATTAATCTGCAATCCAATTCAAATGTGCAACTCTCTCCTTCATAGAAAGGTACATTGTTTTCATTTTTATCTGCACAAGTGTTTAAAAGGAAGAATCAAAACGTTCCAATATGCTCTATTGCTTATCCACAGCACAGCCACCTTCTAGCACTGTCCCGCTTACTCTGTTTGGTGGCCAATACCGAAAAACTGACCGTCCAATAATATTCTTCAAAGGCAGAGGACCCCTGAAGACAACACAAGTTTTCCAATATAAGGAACAATCCAAGAAGAAACTAAACCCTATGATAAAAATCTAAAAACAGATGAACAAATAGGCTTCTCACCACACGTGTGAATCATAACTGTTATTCCGGTTGTCACCCATCACAAATACTGAATTTTCCGGTACCCTCTACAATATCGAAGTAACCAAAATCAGAAAATAAGAAAAACCAGAAGATTCAGGTTCTAAAACTTGTTTAAAAGCCGAGAATAACACTTACAACTGGTGTCATTTCATATCCAGGAGGCTCTAAGATGAATTTTTCATTCCTAGCAACACCATTAACCATCAGTTTCCCATTATGTACCTACACATTACCCCAAATCAAATAACCATCACCTTCACTATTACAAGTCTCTTCACTAGTCACACATTCTAAGAGCCAAAATATGATCATACATACCTCCACAAGGTCACCTTCTTTCGCAACAATCCGTTTAATAAACACATCCGCATCAGTATACCCAACTTCCTGAAGAACTGGTGGACTTTTGAAGATCACAATATCATTTGCACAAGGCTTCCTGAAATAATAACTCACCTGAAACAATCACCAAAACACCATCAATGAATCTCCTTTAAACTCACATACTTAAAAACCTCATAACTCTTAAAAATGTAAACTTTGACATTGTAATCAAAACACAAAACCAGCTTCCTAATCCTTAACTATATAGCTCATGATTCCAAAGCTAATCTATAAACAGAAAACAATACCTTCTCTGCAACTAATCTGTCTCCAACATCAAAAGTAGGATACATAGACAAAGAAGGAATGTATCTTGGTTCTGCAATAAAATAACGAAACGCCAAAGACACAGCTATAGCCACAAACACTGTCTTCGCATCATCCGATGTAAAATCCAACCATTCTGGAAAAAGTCTGTTTTTTTCCTCCACTTCACCTTCACCATCATCACCACTATCTCCGCCGTCACCTCCTCCTCCACCGCCGCCACCGGAGTCTAACGACGGTGCAGACTTTGTCGTCTCACTTGAATCCTTAACCCCATAGCAACTGAGACTTCTCCGGTAGGTTTTACGGTTTAAATTTGTTACTCCGGTGTTGAAATTGAAACGACGGCAAGAAAAAAGTAGGGATTTTGGGGTGAATTGGACAAAATTAGGATTAGGGTTCTTGGTAAATCTAGAATTGGAAGCAGATTTGAGAAAAGCTAGCGGCGGAGTAGAGAGGTGAAGAGATATCATCACCATCATCAACTAGCTAAAGCTTAAATTTTTTTTTTTTTTTTGGCTGTGTTTGTTATTTATCTGAAAAAGAAATGGAAAATTAAAAGACAAATATACTTAAGAAAAATAAAAACGCTTCAACTATTCCTTTTTTAGTTTTTCTCTTTTGTTAACCAATCGTTTAATTAATTCTACTAAACTTATTAATCCTTTGTTGATCTACGATTATAGATTTTGCGAATTGGTTTTATTTATCTATTTTGTTGATAAGTGAAAACAATTATGTTTTTTGTTAATTCCTCCGATTACGGAGGTGTTTCATTCATGGTACATCATCGAAAGACGAATCCGTTATCTCCGTGAAAGTTTTTTTTAATCTTTTTTGATGTCCGATACCGAAGATTCTGTTCAGTGAAAACGATTGATCCTAGAACATCTATGCTATGACTTCTTATCGAAGGACTGGATCGTCTGAATTTCTCATGTGCGTAGAGAGGTTAACCCTCTTGTGAATGAGTTAGCGAACTATGTGGTTACTTTACCGTTAGGATTTTATTTAATTAGCTCGGCTCCACCGTGTGTTGATTCGATCATGCAGGAGGATGTCTTTGGTTCTTTTCGGGCAAGACAAGTGTCTATGTAATTATTATTTTTTTTAGTATTAGCACGGATGATTCACCAAAAACAACAACATTAGACACGATATGATGGCCAAGAATGACGATCTCATCAATTTACTAACACATGTTGGCGAGTAAGGTTTCGGTATCCAAACATCGTGGAAATTTACTTTTTCATTATTCTTTTTATTGTTTGGTTATAATTATCTATGTTTGAATTTGTTTATTATTATTAATGTAGTACAGATTTATGAACTCTTGTATTCGATTTGAAATCAATGAATGAATAAGATGTAAAAAAAAATTTGCAAATTGGTTTCTATAATTTTTTTTGTTTAGTACTTTGAAAGTATTAAAGCATTATTTTCATAATAAAATATGTGTTGTAAATTATAATTTTTAAATATATATATATATATATATATAAACCTATTTGAGATGTTAGCTAATTTAAATTATTATTACAAAATTTAAAACAAATCCGTGGTTTTATCTTTTTATCTTTTTCCCCAAGGAATTTTTTTTTGGTGAGTTTTTCCCCAAGGAATATGATCATCAGAGTTAGTTTTATCCTTTTCCCCAAGGAATATGATCATAAGATTAAGAGTTAACTTTATAAATCGATTAAATTGAAAAAGTTCACAAAACCCTAAAGTTTTTATTTTGGATAATACTAAACCCCAAGTTATCTTCTCTGTATCATCATCGAACATGAGCATGACGCATAAACTTCAGCAACACGCAAGGCGTCTTCTGGCTTACAGTAGCAAGACTCGATTCTTCTGCTCCTGAAACTGGAGAAACCAATTAGTAATCTCTCAAGTCAAGGATCCACCGTAGATCCAGGAAATGAGCAAACCTCAAGGCAAAAGATGATCAAAGAAAGAAGAAATCACCTTAGGACAAACGGGTTTGAGGGATAAAGACTGTGACGGCGCTAAACAGAGATAAGAGAGAAAGAGAGATAAGAGAAATGTTCATTGATTAGGTTTCCGAAATGGCTAAGTGCCTTACATATAGTGATAGTTGTACCAGTCGTAAACCGACTAAATGTACCAAATAAAGATTGTACCAACAAACCATAATAAAAAGCATAATTAAACCGGATGATTAATTCATCATGTAGCAATACTCCCTTCTTCAGAGCATCCTTGGCCTCAAGGATGGAATGTTGGATGCTTGGCAATGAAGTCCTTGTAGAACTCCCAAGTAGCTTTTGATGGTGGCTCTCCCTTCCACTGAACAAGGACTTTGGTGACAGCTTGATTCTGGCGATTAACCATTTTCTTCTCTAGGATAGCCTCTGGTTCTTTGGCATTGCCCACATCAGTTAAATACTGTGGCATTACAGGTGCCTCAGATGGAGGGTTGGGACACAGCTTAAGTTGACTCACATGGAAGACATTATGTATAGAAGTTCCTTGTGGCAGCTCCAGTTTGTAAGCAACTGTTCCCACCTTGTCTGTGACACGAAAAGGTCCGTAGAAACGTGGACTGAGCTTGTGAGGAACTCCTTTTGTCTTTAAGGACTGTTGGCGATATGGCTGCAGCTTTAAGTACACAAAGTCCCCAACCTGAAACTCTCTCTGCGACCTGTGAGAATCAGCATACTGTTTCATGCGGTTCTGTGCTCTTAACAGGTGAAATTTGAGCATAGCAATCAGTTCTTCCCTTTTCTGTAAGCTTCTATCAACCACAACTGAAGAACTCTCTCCGGGGAGGTATGGTAAGTGGACAGGAGGTGGTTGACCGTACACAATTTCGAATGGAGTGCATTTAATGGCGGAGTGAAATGTGGTATTGTACCACCATTCAGCCAGAGGTAACCATTTGCTCCAAGTTTGAGGTGCATCAGCTGTCATACACCGCAAATATGTTTCCAGAGTCTTGTTAGTCACCTCAGTTTGCCCATCCGTCTGGGGGTGGTAAGCAGTGGAGAAACGCAGATCAACCCCATGGACCCTGAACAACTCCCTCCAGACTTCACTCAGAAAAGTAGGATCCCTGTCACTTGTTATGTCCTTTGGCATCCCGTGTAACTTGAAGACATTATCTAAGTAAGCTTGAGCCACTTCAATCGCCGTGTAAGGATGGGACAATGCAATGAAATGTGCATTCTTACTTAGCCTGTCGATGACAACCAAGATGCAGTGCTTACCCGCAGATGGTGGAAGTCCCTCTATGAAATCCATGCTAATGCATTCCCAAACTCCATTTGGGACTGGGAGAGGCTGTAATAACCCTGGTGAAGCAGCTAGATCATATTTGTTCTTCTGGCATATTTGGCAGTTGCGAATGTAGTTCTGCACTTCCAGACTCATCTTTGACCAGTAGAACAGTGCTTTGATGCGTTGCAGAGTGGCGTCTCTCCCTGAATGACCCCCACTGACTGAATCATGCATCCATTTCAATATGTGAAGCTTGACAGCAGCATCATTTCCCACAACCAGTTTACCTTTTCTCCTCAACTCTTCATTGACAAAAGAATAAGCAGGATGAGAGGCAGGATTACTCTTAATGTCAGAAATTACCTTACTGAGATGTGGATCTGATTGCCAAAGTAGCTGGATACTGTCAAACAGACCCTCGTGAGCGTGAGACATAGTGATGGAGAGCAACTGAGCACCTGTTACCCTTGACAATGCGTCTGCTGCATGATTCTCCTTCCCTTGCTTATACTGTATCTCATAAGTGTAGCCCATGAGTTTAGACAGCCACATATGTTGAAAGGGAGTAGTTACCTTTTGATCCAGCAGGTATTTGAGGCTTTTCTGATCTGTTTTGATGAGAAATGGTCTGTGAGTAAGATAGGAGCTCCAAGCTTGCACAGCATGAACAACAGCCATCAACTCCTTCTCATAAACTGACAAAGCTTGGTGACGCGGGCCAAGTGCACGGCTGATATAGCAGATTGGGTGGTTATCCTGCATCAAGACTGCACCAATCTCGGTGTTAGACGCATCAGTTTCTATTACAAAATCCTTACCAAAGTCTGGTAGAGCCAGAACTGGAGATGATGTCAAGGCAGATTTCAATGCATCAAAGGCTGTAGCAGCTTCTGAACACCAGAGGAACCCATCTTTCTTCAACATGTTTGTCAGGGGTCTGGCGATGATGCTATAACCTTGAATGAACCTTCTGTAATAATTAGCAAGGCCTAAGAAACTTCTGAGCTGCTTCTGCGTGGTAAGTGTAGGCCACTGTTCCACTGCCTTGATCTTGCTTGGATCAGTACTAACCCCAGCAGCAGAGATGAAATGCCCCAGGTACTCGACTACAGTGGCTCCAAATGTGCATTTTGAAGGTTTGAGGAAGAGCTGATGTTTCCTGAGGACTGCAAACACTTCTTCTAGATGTTGCAAGTGTTGTTCCCAGGTTGGACTGTAGACCAGTATATCATCGAAGAAGACAAGCACGCATTTCCTAGCAATGTGACGAAACACCTGGTTCATTAAACCCTGAAATGTACAAGGGGCGTTAGTTAGGCCGAATGGCATAACAAGATACTCGTAGTGACCAGCATGAGTTTTAAACGCTGTCTTGTACACATCATGGGGATGCATGCGTATCTGGTGAAAGCCTGCCCGCAGATCAAGCTTGGAGAAGTATGTTGAGCCTCCCAACTCATCTAGCAGGTCTTCCAAGAGGGGAATAGGATACTTGTCTTTAATTGTCTGCTTATTCACACCTCTGTAATCGACACATAGCCTCCAGGAACCGTCTTTTTTCTTGACAAGCACAACTGGTGAGGCATAGGGACTTGAACTGTTCTGAATGATGCCTTGGCTGAGCATTTCCCGCACCATTCTGTCTATAATATCTTTCTGGATTGAGTTGTAGCAGTAGGGTCTGAGACTCACTGGACTTGCACCTGCCTCAACTGGTATCTGGTGATCAAAGCCCTTCCTGAAAGGAGGTAACCCTGTGGGTTCAATGAAGAGATCCTCATATGCCTCCAATAGTGCCTGCAATGTGGCATCACTAAGGGAAGTGGACTCATCAACCGCAATATGAGAGAGAGACGCCTTAGAACTCGTGGATGAATCAGGGTCATAGAGCTGTAGAAAGGCAACTTGCGGCTCCTGTGAGAGTAGCTTATTGAGTTTATTACCTTTGATTACCTTGCAGCCAGCTTTTGCAGTACCCCTGAGTATATACTTCGCTCCATTCAGGGTGAACTCCATCCTTAGGTAAGTAAAGTCCCATAATATAGGACCTAATGTGGCCAGCCACTGTACCCCGAGAACAATATCCCAGTGGTCTAAGGGAAGAGTCCTTACTTCAGTGGTAAAGTTATAGCCCTGCATTCTCCATGTGAAGTCCTTGCACCTGAAGAGAGTCACTGTTTTACCACCAAGTGCTGCATCTACTGTCATGGGTCTGGTCCCTTCAAGCTTGCAGTTTATCTCTTTGGCCACCTTAATGTCAATGAAGTTATGGGTGCTTCCCGGATCCACGAAGATATGGAGCTTATGCTTCCCATATTGCCCCATTAGACGCATACAATTGAAGGTAGTGGATCCATTCAGGGCATTTACTGAGATTGTGGGCTGCTCTTCGTTGGGATTTACAACAGCATCCTCCTCTTCTACTGTCGCATTAACCTCATGTTCATCAACCAGATCATCCTCTTCACATTCCATTACAAAGATTTGAGATTTCCTGTGCTTCAAATGATGGCCTGGAGTATAGGGCTCATCACAGAACATGCAAAGACCTTTGGTTCTTCTCTCTTGCATCTCATCATATGTAAACTTCCTTGTAGGTTTATTGGTATTGTTTGGTTTGTAGGTTGGTGTTTTGGGATATTCGGTGAACTTTGGTGTTGGTAATATGGCTGTAGTGTTTGAGGATTTAGTGTAGGTTTGGTTATTTGGCTTTGAAAAGGGACTGAAGGGAGCTCGCTGAGGTTTGGTTGGAGTTTGGAGAAGGGCTGACTCATGGAGTTTGGCTATTCGGGCTGCTTCTGTTACAGTGGTAACTTTGAACTGTCGGGCTTGTAAGGCTAAGTGTGGGTTTAGATTGGTTAGGAAGATGCTGAGAGCATGTGGCATGGGAAGCGACAACCTTGTTCTTGCAGCCTCAAACTTTTCCCAGAAAACTTCAACGGAGTCTCCTCCCTGTTTTATATTCACCAGCTCAGCCAAAGGGTCATCTACAAGTTCTGCAAACCTAGCTGATAGATCCACAACATACTCTGACCAGGATGGAAACATATCAAACCGATCACGCATGTAGTTATGGTGCCATTCTAACGCTTTACCCTCCATGTGTATCGATGCATAACGGACTCTCATCTCAGGTGGTGTTCCATCAAGTGAAAAGAACTGTTCACAACGGTAAAGCCAACCACGGAGACCATTACCATCAAAGGAAGGGAACCCTACCTTCGAGAGTCTGGTAATCAGTCCATTTGGATGCACAGTGGCTCTGTCTTCTTCGAGAGGACGCTTACCCACAGAAGGCTGACCGGATCTGTTCAAATCGGGAGGATCTGGGGGTTTTGGTGTTTGCGACGATGACGAAGTGAGGTCACCAGAAGCTGCTAGGTTGGAACCCGGAGCTTGACCGCCGTTGTGAGAGACTATCGCCGTCACCATAGCTTCAAGTTTTTGTTGCGACTGGAGTAGCTTATCGATTTGGGTCTGGGACTGCATCAACTTTTCGATCTGAGTCGTTAACGCCTCCGTAGCTGTCCTTTGCTCATCTATCTGCTTGTTCATGGTTGCAAGGCGTGTTGCATCAGCCATGGTTGTACAGATCCGAGGATGAGTGCTCTGATACCAATGAAACCGGAGAAACCAATTAGTAATCTCTCAAGTCAAGGATCCACCGTAGATCCAGGAAATGAGCAAACCTCAAGGCAAAAGATGATCAAAGAAAGAAGAAATCACCTTAGGACAAACGGGTTTGAGGGATAAAGACTGTGACGGCGCTAAACAGAGATAAGAGAGAAAGAGAGATAAGAGAAATGTTCATTGATTAGGTTTCCCGAAATGGCTAAGTGCCTTACATATAGTGATAGTTGTACCAGTCGTAAACCGACTAAATGTACCAAATAAAGATTGTACCAACAAACCATAATAAAAAGCATAATTAAACCGGATGATTAATTCATCCTGTAGCAGCTCCTCCACAAACAAAACCCTATCGTCCCCGGCAAGGAACCTAACTCTGCAAAGTCGGATCGAAGCGGCTTTAGAAAAGAAAGCAGAAATCACTACGGTGCTTGAGCAATGGCGACAACAACAAGAACAAGGGAAGCAATTAAACCCTTCGTTGGTGAGAGGTGTCGTCGAGAACCTACGCGATTCCCAGCGATGTCGCGAAGCCCTAGAGGTATCAAATTGGATGATTGTACAAAAGATCTGCAATCTCATCCCTGAAGATTTCACTACTCGATTTCATCTGATTGAGAACGTATTTGGATTGGAAGAAGCAGGGAATTTCGTCGAGAGCATCCCGGAGAATTTAAGAAACGAATCTATCTACAATTCTCTTCTAAGCAGCTACGTAAGACGAAATGATTTGGATAAAGCCGAATCTACTTTCAAGAAGATGAGGGAGCTAGGGTTGCTATTGAGAGCTTCACCGTATAACTCGATGACTTCACTCTACAGGCGTATCCCTCACGGTAACCGGTGTAAGGTCGATGAGATTCTGCGAGAGATGAAGGAGAGCAACATTAAGCTTGATAGAGACACCGTGAACAATGCTTTGCGAGTATACGCTGATGTAACTCACATAGCGACAATGGAGAAGTTTCTTGCTGAATGGGAAGGGAATACACCGCTTGACTGGCTCACAAGACTTGACATGGCTAAGGCTTATCTCAGAAGTGGTTTTAAGGGAAAGGCTAAAGAGATGCTTCGTAGAACAGAGGAATTGAGGGATCCAAAGTCCTATGAGGAACTCATGAGGCTATATGGTGAAGCAGGAGGGAGAAAGGACGTTTACCGTGTATGGGACTTGTACAAGAAGTTAAGTAAGAAAGACAACGAAGGATTCCGAGCTTTGATTGGTTCACTATTGAAGCTTGATGATATAAACGGAGCAGAGGAGTTCTACTACAAAGAGTGGGAGTGCTCGGGACTTCCGTTCGATGTCCGAATCCCGACTATGTTGGTGTCTAGTTACCGCGAAAAGGGAATGGTGGAGAAGGCAGATAAACTAATAAAGGAGATTATGAAGAATGAAGAATCTGTTAAACCAATCACTCCGTTGTTGGAGTCATTGGAAAGAAAAGGGAATGTAGTGAAGCCTTCGGAGTTAAGAGATCTCATCAAGAATCTCTGTGACTCAAATCAATTCTATAAAGCACTTGAGGCATCAAAATGGATGAGTACAAAAACATCTTTCAATCTTTTCCCTCAAGATTATGCAGCTAGGCTTCATATGATTGAAAACGTGTTAGGTTTTGAGGAAGCAGAGAAGTTTTTCGAAAGAAGCATTCCGGAGAACATGAAGGATGACTATGTCTACGGTACACTCTTAAGCTGTTACGCGAAATCTCACAAAACTTTGGATAAAGCCGAGGCCATTTTCGAGAAGATGGGAGACCTCGGTTTCCTCTCGAAACCTTCTCCATTCAACTCGATGATATCTCTTTACAGTCAGCTAGGAAAACGAGAGAAGGTGGAAAATCTTATATCGAAGATGAAATGTATGAACATAGAGCCGGATAGTCTCACGATGAACAACGTTTTGAGAATGTACGCAGATGAAACCGACATAAAGACAATGGACAAGTATAAAAGAGAGTGGATTAATGCTGAGAAAAACACCAAGCTTGAGATGAGGACCATGGTTGCAATGGCGAATGCTTACGAGAGAGCCGGTCTACTACTAAAGGCGATTGAGATAACAAGGAGTAAAAATGAAGTTCACCGTCTATGGAATGAGTACAAGGAGAAGGAAAAGAGAAATTATAAAATAGATGACGCCAATCTATGTAAGTGTAGAAGTGCGGTTGGTGATGAAGAATATCAAAGTGTGATTAGCTCTTTGTTGAAGCTAGACGATTTAAAAGGAGCAGAGGAGATATATGGAGAGTGGGAACCAGAAGGACCCGAGTTCAATACTCGAATACCGTGTTTGATAATCTCTCGTTACTGCAAGGAAGGCGATGAAGTGAAGGTAAGGGAAGTAGTGTACTCGAGTATAAAGAAGCGGAAGCTAATGCAGTTTGAGAGTTTCAAGGAAGATGTGTACGTCTTTGGTGCCATATGTATAGTGTGTGTGGGTTTTGTGGGCGTGCTATTAATGATTATAACGAACCCCTTGCTCTTTTTTTTTCTCCTAATTCATTTGTCTCGTTAATTTCTAATTGTTCTATTACTGAATTTATTTGTTTTCAAATTCTTTTTATTTGGTTGGATCGAACATTGTTTTTGTTCTAACATGCTTTCTTCTGTTTTTTTCTTCTTTCCAAATTTAGAAGAAAAAAGTTCACATAAGCTTTTGGATCATAGTTTCACATGGTTTGACCGGACTCTTCGGGTTTAAAAGCTTCAACTTTTGAGAAAATATCTTAGTCTATACTAGGTTTTGATTTGAGTTGCTAGGTTTTGAAGGAAAAGAAATGTGCAAAATTATGATAATGTTTGTAAGTTATGTCGTCAGAAGATTTCATAGGGAAAGTTTTTCCCATATTTTTCATTTCTATTATTCCCATCTACCTGAAGTAGAAGAATAATATTTGATCGGGAACCAGGTTTGGTGCTATTGGTCGGATCGACCTAGTCATACGACGTAAAAAAGCCGAATAATGGGTGCTTATGGTGTTATTTGGTGATCGGACTCTCTCATGCAGTTGTATAAGTTTTTTAATTGGTCACAAAATCTGCATGTTTGTGTTGTGAACATCATCCCCTAAGATGCATCAAATGCTTTGTCGACTTTTGGTGGTCAAACAATGATAGGAAGGTCAGAGAAATGACTGTAAAACTCAGTTTATGATGCGAATTCCGCCGCACAACATTTTTTATTTTCTTATAAGTATGTGAATATCACTAGGAATGAATGTTGAGGTTTTACAAAAGCTTAACCTATACTTTACTACCGTACCGCATATTGACAAATCTAGAAGGTTTTACTAACATATCACAGTAGTTTGCGAAATGTGTAACAAACACTAAACAAATCATTGCCTAATAATAATCTTGTTCAAGGAACATGATAAAAGAGAAAACAAACAAGTAAGCATTCAAGAAATAGACCATAGGTATTGTAAAATGTACTAATTAATTAAAGGTGCACTAAACTCGGAACATAAGAGCACACAAGTGGGTAACAAAATTTGGCTGCAGATACTCCAAGATCCACTTCTTCCAAGATTCCATCCACTCCAACGATGTAAGCTACGTTGCGAGTAGGGTTCATTAAACCTTCTTTGTCTTTATCAAAAACAACGGCGACTTTATTCTCCTCGTCAATGAAGAAACTCGCAGCACTAACCTGAAACTGAAAGGAAACAAGTGGGTTCATATCCACTGCTAAGAACACCTTTCTGTTCCACGACACCCGATAGGGCTCAATTTTCATCTGTAATGTATAGGAGCATTGAAATAAAACCGCAAGCTGCTCTTCTCTGACACTAGATAGACTGACAGTATCTGAATAATAAAACTGAAACGGCAGAGGCAAACATGGCCCAAATCTCTCTCTAGTGAAATCAAAACAGAGTAAGTTACATTGCCGATTTCTAGCAAACCAGTACGTATTTCCCTTGACAGAGACACCACGACGATGAGCGTATATCTTACAGTATGGAGTGATGACATCAAGATCCCTCCATGAATTAGAGTTAATATCGTAGATTTTAAACTCAACATAAGTGGGAGAAAAATCAATAAATCTCAAGATTTTGTAGATGCGGCATGACTTGCTGCTCTTCTCGTATCCGAGAGCATACATATACGAATAAATTTTTTGGAAGTCATGCTTAGGCTCGATCAACCGGGTTTGCCCCCAATACGGGTTCCAAACAACAACCCTAGTATTATCTTCCATAATGCATAACAATAAACCGTCGCAGTGAAAGACTTGAGATACATTGACTTCATCTTCTAAGCTAACAAGTTCACCTTCACGCATTATACATGACTTAACGTCATTGTGAAGATTGACGCGCATCAAATAAACCCTAAAATCCATCATCATGACCATCATAAACTCTTTTTCCGTTGCTGCTACTTTTGCTTGATCACCAAGGTACTTCTTCGCAAAGCTCTCACCTTTGAATAAAGTGTTCCACTTTTTGCAAGTAGATCGGACTTTTCTCAGAGATGTCAACGGAATTCTACAGAGCACCTCCTCGCCCAAATCGCTGGGAAGATTGGACATCTTCGTCATTGTTTCAAGTCTCAACCAGGATCGATCGATGTAATGTAGTAAATAAATTAGGTTAACTTTGAAAAACTATGCTTCTGTGATTACCGATTTTCTCCCACCTCTGTGAATATATAACAACATAAACCCTTAACGAAAAGATTAGATGACGAGGATATAAAAACTTCAAAAAATAAAAAAAAAATAAAGGAAAATAACAATACCAACAATTTCCTTTTCTCTGTGATTACAGATTTCTTCAGCCTCAAGATATTATAACAATTTGAAGACGCTATACCCCTTAAGGGAAGGAGTCAATTAGAGTTTGCGACAGAACATGAATCTACTCAGGCCCTAAAGCATCTCAAAAGTTTATTAATTTGAAAGAATCACATCTCAAAAAATATTTGTTTGGTCGAATAATTACATTAGTTGTAATTTAATTGGCAATAAATTAAATCTCTAATTAGACTCTACCAAACTTTTTTCATAAGAAAGATACATAACTTTTTTTTTGACAGTTTTATTTCATGTGATTGACAATGTGTTGGGTTTTGAGGAAGCAGAGAAGTTTTTCGAAAGAAGCATTCCGGAGAACATGAAGGATTACTCTGTCTACAGCTAGGAAAACGAGAGGAGGTCGACAATCTTATATAGAAGATGAAAGATATGAACATAGAGTCGGATAGTCACACAATGAACAACGTTTTGAAGATGTACACAGATGAACCGATCGACATAGTTAAAGATAATGGACAAGTATAAGAAAGAGTGGGTTAATTCTGAAAAAAACAACAAGCTTGAAATGAGAGCCGGTCTACTACTAAAGGCGATTGAGATAACAAGGAGTAAAAACAAATTTCACCGTCTATTTTGTATCTGCTACAAGTTCTGGTTCTAATTGTTCTATATCGAATTTGTTTGGTTACATACTCTATTTAAAACGGCATTGTTCTGGCTATGTCTCAACTTATTCTCTGCAGATATTCTTCCTTGAACCTCTCGCCTCTGTATCGAGAACCAGAACTTGCAGGACATACAAGAGCTGCATTAGACTCCAATGAGCAAAGCCAGAACTGAGAAAGGGGCATTAAGAACAGAGTGTACCAAAGGTCGAAGATTAACTCCAAGAATCTTTGAATCTTGTAAGTATTTACCATGAATCTACTACAACATAACAAGGAAATTAAGCAACCCAAGGCAGTGAAATGAACAAAAAAAAAGTTGAGAAACAAATTTGATATACATTCTCACTAATAATCTTGTTCAAAGAACATGAAAACAAAAAAGAGAAAGCAAACAAAGTATAAATACTAAATATGCAAGAAATATATTATTGGTACTGTGTAGAGGACTAACTAAAGCTGCACTAAACTTGGAACATAACAGCACACAAGTGGATAACAAAATTTGTCTGCAGATAATCCAAGATCCACTTGTTCCAAGGTTCCATCCTCTCCAAAGATGTAAGCTATGTTGTGAGTGGACACTAAATATTTTTTCTCTTTATCAAAAACCACAACAACTTTCTTCTCCTCATCGATAAAGAAACTTGCAGCTCTAACTTGAAACTGAAATTGAAGGCCAATATCCATTGCTAAGAACACCTTGCTGTTCCACGACACCGCGTTGGGCTCAAGTTTCGTGGTTATCCAGATCTCCATCTCCATCTCTGATAATCTTGAGCGCTGAAATAAAACCGCTAGCTGCTCTTCTCTAACACTAGATAGACTCACGGTATCTAAAATATACGGCTGAATCGGCAGAGGAAAACGTGATCTAAATCTCTCTCTTGTGAAATCAAAACAGACTAAGAAAGTACTGCTTCCTTGCCTCTCTCTAGCAAACCAGTACGTATTTCCCTTGAGAGACACGCCACGACTATAAGAATCTATCTTCCAATCTGGAGAGACATCAAGAACCTTCCATGAATCAGAGTTTATATTGTAGATTTTGAATTCAAAACAAGTGCGAGAAAAATCAATAAATCTCAAGATTTTGTAGCTGCGACATGATTTGCTGCTCTGCTTGTATCCAAGAGCATACGTATAAACGTCCAATTTGTGGAAATTATGTGTAGGCACGATCCACCAGGTATGCCCCCAATACGGGTTCCAAACCACAATCCTAGTGTTATCTTCCATAATGCATAACAATAAACCGTCGCAGTGAAAGACTTGAGATACATCGTCTTCTTCGTCTAAGCAAATAAGTTCACCTTCAGGCTTTATACATGACTCAACGTCATTGTGAAGATTGACTCGCATCAAATAAACCCTAAAATCCATCATCATGACCATCATAAACTCTCTTTCCGTTGCTGCTTCTTTTGCTTGATCACCAAGGTGCTTCTTTGCAAAGCTCTCACCTTTGGATAAAATGTTCCACTTTTTGCAAGTTAATCGGATATTTCTTAAAGATGTTAACGGAACCCTAGAGAGCACCTCCTCCACCAAATCCTTAGGAAGATTAGATATCTTAGTCATTGTTTCAAGTCTTAACGATGATCGATGTAGCGTAGTATAAGTCTCAACGATGATCGATGTATCTTCAAAACCGCTTTCAATATGCTTCTGTGATTACCGGTTTTCTCCCACCTCGTTGTAACATCAGATAACCCTAAACGAAAAGATATGATGACAAAACAAAAATTTTAAACAGAGGAAAAAAACATATTCCTTTTCCTTTGCGAGTTCGGATTTCTTCCGCGGCAAGATATTGTGTAATATAACAAATTTAAAACCCTACAGAAAAAGATTCTATTACGTTTTTATCAAAAAAAAAAAAAAAAAAAGATTCTATTACGACAGTACAAAAACAACCCAAAACATAGTTCAAATTTGCAACAAAATATCTGATTCGTCTCTACCCTACTTTTTTTTTACAGAATTTTTTTTGGGTATCCTACTTTTTTTTTACAGAATTTTTTTTGGGTATGACAGTATGTTTTTTTCAGATTAACATGGTCATGTCTTCATTTTTTGGGATAAAATATGAATTTCTGTTACCAAAAAGTAGGGGTGTCAACTTGGTTAAACCAAACCAAACCAATCCATATCCATATGGGTTTAGTGTCAACTTTTTGGCAAAAAGGAACGTTTTTTTTGGTAGGCTTACCAAAAAGGAACGTTTGATTACAAGTAGCTACGTTCAGTGGCGGAGCCCAAAATATTTCTTATAGGGTCAATATATTAATATAATTATATAATAATAATATTATTATTTCTTTAATTAAAATAAAATTTCATTACTAATTTTTAAAAATCTATATGTTATTACATTTTTTAATATAAGTAAAGTATTATTATCGCTATAAACACCATTAGTTATAGTTTTGAAAATAAAATGGCTATCATTTTGTATATGCGTAACATCATAATTTTTATCGTTTTAAGTAGCTACGCTCAGTGGCGGAGCCCGAAATATTTCTTATAGGGGTCAATATATTAATATAATTATATAATAATAATATTATTATTTCTTTAATTAAAATAAAATTTCATTGCTAATTTTTAAAAATCTATATGTTATTACATTTTTTAATATAAGTAAAGTATTATTATCGCTATAAACACCATTAGTTATAGTTTTGAAAATAAAATGGCTATCATTTTGTATATGCGTAACATCATAATTTTTATCGTTTTCTATTTTTGAAACTAATCGAAAATATGGTGAGAAAAAGTTGTGAAGTATATTTAACTTCTTTTCTCAATATTGTTTGGTTTAGTTTAGTGTTTATATTGATTAGTTGATACTTATAAAACTAAATTCTTTTTGATTGAAAGCCATATTTAAAATATTATAAAAAATCAAAAGTAATTATAAAATTTTAATTCATACACAGAGAGTAAGAAAAAAATATTTAAGTGAAAAGAAAAACATGAAAATTAATACGAAAAAAAGATGAAGAGTTAAATACAGATAACATGTTAACTCAAACATAAACGTCAAAAAGATGCAAATTGATGGATAATTGAATCAAATGCAGTTATTATTTTTTAATTAATATGAAAAGGTAAAAACACTAAATGATTAATTTTAAAAAATTGGCGTAGGTTGCAAACAAGAAATTCCAACTAGGCATATAGGGGTCATTTAGAGATTTTAAGCCAAATAATTTATAAAATACTAACTAAATAAGCTTGAAATTTTTTTTTTGTAAAAGTCATGGGGTCAGTTGACCCCCCTCCCATCCATGTGCCTCAGCCCCTGGCTACGTTTACCCAAGGAGTTTCTAGGGTTCCCAATGATAAATTGATGAGATTAAAGAACACCAAAGTGTTTAGGAAGAATTATAATAAGACTCTCATAAGATTAAAGGTATAAATTACATTCTCTTATATAGATATGAGATTTCCTAATCTAAGATAAATATAAATGTAAATAATATATTTAGAGATAATATTAAACTTCCTAAACTTAAGATATGATAACTTCTAGATCATTCTTAATCTTCATGATTTTCATAATTTTGGGCGATTATCTCGACCGTCGATCTCGGTCGATCTCTGGTTCTCCCAATACCCAAAGAAAATTAAGTATAGCTAGGCTTACCTAAGGAGTTTCTAGGGCCCCAAAAAAAAATTAGGTAGCTTCGATGTTTGGCACGTTGTAGATATGCTGACATGATCTGAGCAATAAGAGCCTTCAAGACCCATCTACTCGATCAGCTCGAAACTTTTTTCATACATACAAGGCATGAACTGGTCTTTGCTTCTTTAGTATGTACATGCCCGTCTCAATATGTAGTGGGGCCTTTGGCCAAAAAAAAAAAAAAACTAAAACCTCTTAGTAAAAAAATGATTTTTGAAAAAATGGAGCTTTTTAACCTTAAGAAATTTTTTGAAATTAATATCGGACCCATAACATTTGTCAAATAATGTAAGCTCGAACACCATACACTCAAATTCGACGCTCAAGTATGCAAATGTTGGTTGAACATACCGGATCAAGACACCATTGAAGAATTTGAGTCCGCAGAAAGCCTTTGTTTCGATCTTGACAAGAGTTTTGATAAACTCCTTAATGTTCTTAATGTGTGTATTCTTTTTGTAATAATTAGAAATGAAACCTCTTGATCTTTGGAAATGTTTTTGAACAAAAAAAAAGAAAAAGAAAAAAAAGATCTTTGGAAATGCCAGTAATTTTGAGTCTTTGGCTGCGACTGCGAACAATATGGAATTATATGAGCCAGAGATATTCATTGAAACCCATTCATCCATCCGGTAAAAAAAACTTCTCCTTGCTGGGGTACTACATCATGTCCGGAAACTCCTGTACGAGCAATCTCAACCATCTCTACAAGATTGCTATCCTTAATGATCAATTTTTTTTGGCTCATATATACATTACATATATAATATGTTTCTTTAAATCTTCTTTAGAAAAATGAAATAACCCTTGTATCATTCCTTTATAGGTGACGGTTCAGTTGGAGTTAATGTTCAAAAGATCAATCAACTGTCTCCTTCCGGATTTGGAGCAACACCTTTTGATAAAATGAACTTCTCTGATGTGATGCAGTTTGTGGACTTCGGTCCGAAACTGGCGTTGAACCAGACCAGAAACCAAGACGATCAAGAAACCGGGATTGACCCGGTTTATTTCTTGAAGTTCCCTGTCTTGAACGACAAGATAGAGGACCATAACCAAACCCAACATCTCATGCCTTCTCATCAGACGTCTCAAGAAGGAGGTGAGTGTGGAGGAAACATAGGCAACGTGTTTCTTGAAGAAAAAGAGGATCAAGACGACGACAACAACTCCGTGCAACTCCGTTTTATTGGAGGAGAAGAAGAAGATAGGGAGAACAAGAATGTTACGACAAAGGAGGTGAAGAGCAAGAGGAAGAGAGCTAGAACAAAAAAAATTGATGAAGAAAAAGAGGATCAAGATGACGACAACAAAAAAAATTGATGAAGAAAAGCAAAGAAGTCAATTAAATTATTCATCTTCGATAAAAACAAAAAATATTAGATTTTTAATCAAGCACTAGTAATGCAATGGCAACGTTAAACAATTTTGTATATGTGACACTAGTTTATGCGAATAAAAAAAAAAAAAGTTGATCAACTGCCAGAGAAGCAAACCCAGAAAGAACAAAAACAATAACAATAGAAGAAAATAAATACTTATGTTTGTTTCTATTTGATCTCAACTTTGAATTTGTGAACCTATTTTTGTCAGTTTTTAAAAATATTATTTATGTTTTGCTCATTTTTTGCTTATTTTTTGCTTACTTTTGGTCAGTTTATTTATTTTTGATTATTTAAAATTTTAAATTATAAGATATTGATAGATGTGTAGTCACTATAAATTCATACAAATTAAAAAAATTAGTTTTATATTTTAGAGGCTGAGTTAACATTATATATATATATATATATATGTATATATATATAAACTCCAACAATATCTTTGTTATTGAAAATTCTTAATTATATATTGTTTAAGTTATTCGGTTTTTATTCGATGTTTGGATTTCCTTTATCTGTCTACAATTATGCTCTTACAATGTCCAACTTTTCCATGAAGTTGATTGAAAGAAACATCCAGATTGGTCAGATTCAACTTGATGAGCTCGAACGGAATAGTGCCATTAAGACGATTATGAAAAAGATCAATCACCAAGAGAGAGATGAGTTCGGCGAACCGTGGAAAGGTGGTTCATGTCAGGTTCTTGGAGATAAATGGGATATCATCCTTACGGGTTGTACTACAAGCCTTTCACAAGGGTCATTATTCCATTTCTAGCTCTTTGCAAATTCAACCTGGTAGCCAAACTTTCCAACAACTGAAAGTAAGATATCCACTTTGTGATCAAGCTCTGGAGGCAACCAAGCATTCACTGCAACGAAAAAACAGAGCCAAATTTTTTTTAGTTATATGGTGTTTTTGGAAAATTAAAACTTAATTGGTATATTTGGAAAACTAAAACTTAAGTGTATTATTTTTGGAAAACCAAAACTTAAGTGTAGTATTTTTGAGAATTGCCCTACAAAAAAACATCAAAACATTTAAAACGAACAAAAACTTTTGCCATGAATCTACTCTAGCCTGAAGCACTTGTTTCAAGCTAAGCTTGGATATATTAACCGGAACCGAAGAACCGTGGTAAACCAAAACAAAATTTGCGATTCAGTTCAGGGTAGGTACACAATCTTTTATTACTAACGGCCACAAAATATAGTAATATACTAACTGGTAGGCCTGGGATTTATATCCGTTATCCGCAGATATCCTTATCCATAGCCGGTTTTTTATCCAAAACATGGATATCGGGCGAAATGCATACGGATACGGATAGTAAAATGACGGATACCCCGGATACAGACTCGGATACGAATAATCCTAAAATTTGGGCTGGATAACTGATATCCGGGGTATGTCTACGCCCATAAAAAATTTTGTTACTCGAAGGCCTTATGACTCCATTCTTCAAGTGTTAAAGCCCAAAAAATCTTGTAAGCCCAACATTTTAAATTGTTTTTATTTTATTTTCAATGTTAATAAATAATCATATGACAGAAAATAAAAATAATTCTTAGAAGAATCTAAGAAGTTGATTAACGTCTTTTTTTTTTGTTTAAGAACATCACTTGAATCTTTTCAACTTTTTGCTACTTTAATAAATTCTTTGTTTTTGTAATATTTTATATTTTGAATCAACTTTTAGCTATTTTATGAATTTTTTAAACTTTTTATGTATGATATTAATGAATTTAGGATTTTATAAACACTATTTCCG